TTTGATCTTTAATATTATCTTGAGATGTAGAGATTTAAAGTTTCTACAACTTTAAATTTGTAAATTAAAGATGTAAAATAGAAATGAAAAAATAAGGAGTATAAAACAAATTAAATACGATGACTATAAGATATAAAATGAAAGTTTTAAGAATAATTCACTACGTATTTATGTTATTTAATAATATGATTAAATCGAAAAATATTCAATATTGATTTCATTCTGAAGCCATTGATGAGACGATTATAACGGTATAATTTGTTAAAAATGAATCGTATTTTTTAATATATTTTATTTAATATACGATTATGTATGATAATATGATAAAGATGAAAAATAAAAAAGAAAGAGATATAAATTAAATTAAATAACTAATTATAAAGGGTATAAAATGTAACATAAAAATTAAAAATAATTTGATTTTAATATTTGAAATGTGAAAGTTTCAAAAGAGATGTTTAATTTCAAAACTTGTACATGGTACCTCTTAAATTTCAACAATAACTACTTTACGTGATCTTTTGTATATATTTGGCCCCTCCTTAAGTTGCGGGTCATGTACTTTGAACATCTTCAACAGTTTCTCTGTAACAGAGAAAATCAATATTTTATTCTTTATAGTGTTTCAATAGTTTTACTACTTTATTTTTTAAAGTAGAGAATTATGGAGAAAACTCCAAATAGAAAGAATTTTTTTAAAAATTCAAATAGAAGAGAGAGAAATGAGTTTTTATTCATTCTATAAATAAAGGTTGAATTGATATGTCATTTTATTAGGCATGAGAATGAGCCCCGACCTATCAGGAGACCCGGTCCACCCGCCCCTATCGAGGACAGAGATTCTCCGCTAAACCGGAGATGGGGACGGGGACGGATATGGTACTCCCAGCCTTGTCCCGTACCCGTTATATATATATATATATATATATATATATATATATATATATATTATTTGTTTATTTCAACTAAAGCGTTATTTCATAATTTATTATTTCCTAACTAGGTTTATAATCTAAAAATTGTTATTTTTTGGATGTTAATATTTAATATTTTGGATGTCAAGTCAAAATGCAATTACTCGATAAATTTTGTATATTACTTAATATCTTTTTTTACATGTGACTTTAAGTTTTTTTGAATTTAATTGATTTTTCTGGTTTTACATTATTAGCTCTTATATGATGTTGTGGGTTTTTTTGTATTAAATTAAATTCATTTTGGTTTTAGGTTTATTGAAAATGTTTGAGATTTAAACATGTATAGTTTCTCACATATTTAATTTAAAATAACTTATATAAACAAAAAATAAAATCTCCGTTTCCCCCGTTGGGGATCCCCATTCCTCGTTGGTAATTGGGATGAGGTAGTGATTATATTCCCCGGCGGGGATGTGAACGCGGACGAAGATAGAGATAAGTAATCAGGTACGAGGACGAGAATTGAGGTCCCCGCCCCATCCCATGCCTACATTTTATATATATTTAAAATAATTGTATTAAAATTATAAAATATTTAAATTAAACAATTAATGATAAAATTTCTTATATAAAAAAATCAGTTGATGTTAATTATAATTTATTTTAAAGATTATAATTTTTATTTCTCTATTTTAAAGAAATTATATAACAACCCAAGTAAATGTCAGTAGAGATTATCGATAGCTATTACCAAATGGTCAAACGTCAACGCTAAATGCTGCAGACAAATATTATAAGGCTCCAAAACCACTTTTAGAATGGAAAATTATTTTCTTTTGGCCATGAAACAACGCCACTCTCCCAGACCCAGAGGCGCAAAGGCTTCTCTCCCAACACCAGAATCCCATCCAAAGCAGTTTCCATATCCAAAAGCAAAAACCCTAACACCCCCCCCCCCCACCCCAATTCTCAAGCAAAGAATCATTCTTTTCTTTTTGAAGGATTTATAATGATCAAGAAATCATCTCATGATTGAATGTTGTTCCCAATCACTTCATCATCACCATCAGCAGCAGCTGCTCTGCTCTGCTCATAATTAATTTTTAAGTAAGGGAGATGCGAACTTTGGAAGAAGATTCGTGTAATCATGATGATATCGATAATACTGATAACTATTCGTTTGAGATAAATGAGAGTTCTTCAACTCTAAGCATTCTTTCTTCTCCATTGTTGCTTATCGAAACCCTATCTCGCAAGAGCTTTTCATATGGGAAACTACCCTTAGAACCTATCAAACTTACTGTTCTCAAATTAGATGGATCTTCCTTCGGTACTTTTCTCTTTCCAAAGTGTTTACTTTCTGTTATTGTTCGATTTATTTGATGCCACATATAATTCCAGTTTTCTGTTGATCGTAATTCATGATCATCCTCTGACATTTTCAGTTTAATTTGAAATTTGAAAATGAGGAAATCGGTTGATTGTTTGATACAGATATTACTGTTGCCAAGAACCCTACGGTGGCACAACTGAAGCAGGCCGTGGAGGCTGCTTTTAGCCATTTGCCCAAACATGGAATTGGCAAGGTTTCTTGGTAGGCCCAGATTTCTTCTCTCGCTCTCTCACTATGTATATGCATATAATGTAGAAAAACCTGTAAACATATAGCTGCTAATGTAGTTTTGTGTGTAAAGTAGCCTCCTTTTGTAAAATTACTAGTAATGGCGGGTTAGGCTATGTTTGGCAAATTAGCTTATAAGCTAGCTCATAATTAATAAACTAGTCATGTTTGGTAAAAACTAGCTGATAAGTTACATAACAATGGAAAATGACATAAAAGAGATATTGAAAAATAATTGGAAAGAAGCACTTGGAGTTCAAAAGCTAGCTTAACAAAGCAGGGTTTTTCTAATAGCTAGCTTATGGTTGCCAAAGATGATTAATAATATGGTGGTAATAGTAGAGTGATGGTAACTTTACATGGACGTGGCGTCATGCCGTAACCTTATGCTTCTGAAAGTTTTGTGACATAATAGATACCGCATAGCCTTATGTTCATAGTACTCTAACCTTACGGTTACGGATTTTATTATTTCAGACAACATCAACCTTTTTGAAATCGATTTTCAGATTTGACAAAAGCCAGAAATTGGTGGCTAAAAGTTTCAAATTGAGGAAATTGGTGACTAAAAGTTTCAAATTGAGGAAATTGGTGTCAATAAATAAATCCTGAGAAATGAATCTTAATAATGCACATGGTACAAATGTTTAATATACAATGGTCTTATTCTAGTCAAGAATTGGTGCTGTGCCTGCTGCTACCACAAGCAGCCTCATTTTACTCGTATATGTATGCAAATTCCTATTTTCGGGTCATGGTGAGTGGGGGAAGTTAAGGAATTGAGTTTGGATTGTTGAATTGTAAGCCAAATAATCCCAATTGCGTTAGAGTTCACACGTTTTATCTAGGCTTCACGTCATATGGATTATTTTGGTTCCCCCCTTTAGAAACGACGAGCTTAAGAACTATCACTCCTTGAGGTAACTTTGTTGTACCCGTGAACTTTTGCATATATATATAGAGAGAGAGGTTGGTTATTGTACAACCCTTGACATTTGTGCAACCAATACAACCCAATCTCAACCGTTCATTTCATTTGATTAATATGTGATTTCATAGAAGTTTTGATTGTTTCCTAATATAAAGTATTGATCATAATTAATGAACCATATTCATCTTCCATAAATATTCAAATCATAATAAATGAACTCTCATCATTTCCATAAATATCTCAATTTATTGGGTTGCATTGGTTGTACAAATGCGACGGGTTGTATTTGAAACAAACTTTCTCTCTCTCTCTCTCTCTCTCTATATATATATATATATATATACATGGACCATAAAGTAAACTTCTCATTACCCTGATGACATTTGGGTGCTTTTTCTCAACTATGGTGGTTGTTGATGGAAAAAGGAAATTTAGCAGTGAATTTAGGGAAGAAGGAGACTGCTGGAATTAAAGGTGAAACGGAATTACAGAAAAGATCCAGGGAGAATCCCTCTCTCAATGCATGATGCAAGAGCCAATACAACAGAATAATGCAAAAAATAACAAGATGTCCTATGCACTCCCCTTCCTTCCCTTTTTAAAGATACTAATCTCTAACTAACTTTCTAGCCACTTTTCACAATTGCCCTTTTAGCCCTTCTAGAATAAACTTTTCACTCCCTTGCTTTATTCCCATTAGACTTAATGATTTCTGGATTCATATCACTACTCCCGCCATCAAATAAAGTCTTGTCCTCAAGACTTGCATCTAGAAATTGACTCTGGATAGTCAAGACATCCTCCCACGTAGCTTCTTCGATTGGCAACCCTTTCCACTGAATTAGCCATTGATCGACTGAGTCTTGGAAATCATTTACTACACGAGAAGCCAAAATTGCAACTGGAACAAGCTGATCGGCATTACTTAATTCCAGTTCTGGAGGTAACACCTGGTCGCCATCCACTCTCACCGCCTTCTTAAGTAATGAAACATGAAAGACGGGATGAACCTTCGAAGAGGGAGGCAATTCCAAACCATAAGCCACCGGACCCATTTTTTCCACAACCTTAAAAGGGTAAAAAAACGAGCAGCGAGCTTCTGATGAATACGCGACGTGATCGACATTTGTCGGTACGGTTCAACTTGACATACACCCATTCCCATTCAACAAAGTCAATTTCTCTGCGTTTTTTGTCTGCTTGTTCATTGCTGTCTAAGCTTGAGCTAAGTGAATCTTGAGTTGCTTCAATGCCTCATCTCGGTCACGAAGTTCTTGGGTTATTGCCTGAACACGTATCTCCCCTGGAATAAATTGAATGACAGATGGGGGTTTACGACCATAGACCACTTCAAATGGGGACTTGCCGGTTGAACTATGGAATGTCGAATTATACCATAACTCCGCCCAAGGAAGCCATGTTGACCAATTACGGGGCTGGTCAGTAGCAAAACAACGTAAATATGATTCGAGACAACGGTTAATCACTTCCGTTTGACCGTCCGTTTCCGGATGGTAAGTAGAACTCATGAGCAGCTTCATGCCTTGAGAACGAAAATTTTCTTGCCAAAAACGACTAAGATATAGAGGGTCACGATCACTGATGATCGATTTTGGAATTCCATGGTGTCTAACTACTTCACGAACAAAGATTTCAGCTACACTTTTGGCCGTATACGAATGTTTAAAGAGAATAAAACGGCTGTATTTCAATAGTCTGTCTACCACTACTAAGATAGCATCAAACCCCTTTGATTTAGGAAGTCCAAGGATGAAATCCATTGAGAGATGTTCCCAAATGGAAATGGCTTTCGGAATGTCTAATGGCTGTAACAGACCCCCGGGTAAGGTTGAACTGGCTTTGCAACGCTGACAAACATTACATTCACGAACGAACTTTTTAACACTGCCTACCATGCCTGACCAATATAAATTTGCAGCCAATCGTCGATAAGTACGGTAATAACCGGAGTGTCCTCCGGAAGCAGACCGGTGAAACTCAAGTAATAAAAAAGGAATAAACTTGGAAGTACGAGAAATAATCAAACAATCTTTATAGAATAATACCCCCTGTTGAATTTTATAACCAGGATGTGAAGACGGGTTAGCTAAACAAACTCGAAGTAATCCGTTGGAGTTCTATATCATCTCTAGCTTCCCTTATTAGTTCATCACCTTGAAGCCATAATGGAGTAGAAGATAAAGTTTGAAGGCCACCAGAATCAGCACAACGAGAAAGTGCATCAGCAGCACGATTTTTTCTACCCGGTTTGTATTGTATGTCAAAATTGTAGCCAAGGAGTTTAGCCACCCAATTTTGTTGGTCAGGAGTGGTTATGCGCTGTTGTAACAAAAAATTAACGCTTTTTTGGTCCGTATAAACTATGAAAGTAGTGCCTAACAGATACGAACGCCAGTGCTGAACGGATAAAACTAACGCCATGATTTCCCGTTCATAGGTTGACTTTGCCAAGTTGCGATCACTCAAAGCTTTGCTGAATTAAGCAATGGGTTGACCCTGTTGCATGAGAACAACCCCAATCCCCGTCCCGGAGGCATCACACTCGACAATAAAAGGTAAATCAAAATTGGGAGGGCTAGAACAGGAGCGTTTACCAAAGCAGCCTTTAAAGCCTCAAATGATTGCTGGGTAGCGGAACTCCATTGAAACGCATCTTTCTTTGTGAGATCGGTGAGAGGACGGGCGATGCTCCCATAATGTTTGACAAACTTCCGATAATAACCGGTAAGCCCTAAGAATCCCCTTAAGCCTTTAATGTTTTTGGGCACCGGACAGTCCATTACCGCCTCTATTTTCTTAGGATCCATGGCCACGCCGTTGCCAGAGATGATATGACCTAAGTACTCCACCGATGTTTGTCCAAAGGAACACTTCTTTTGATTTACCACAAAATGATTCTGCAACAAAATGCCCAAGACAGCCTACAAATCTCGTAAGTGGTTAATCCAACTTGGACTAAAAATTAAAATATCATCAAAAAACACGACGACAGATTTACGTAATAAGGGACGAAAAACGTCGTTCATCACAGCCTGAAACGTCGAAGGAGCGTTCATTAAGCCAAACGACATGACCAAGTATTTATAGTGACCATCGTGAGTCCAAAACATTGTTTTTTCAATACTGTCGGGTCTCATACGGATCTGACTATAACCTGATTTCAAATCCAACTTGGAGAAATAACGAGCACATGTAATTCATCAACCATAGGAATAGGAAATTTATCCGCAATGGTAGCCTTGTTGAGAGCACGATAATCTACACACATACGCCACGTATTATCCTTTTTACGAACTAAAATGACCGAGCTTGAAAAGGCACTTTACTTGGACGAATCGTTCCCAAGGACAACAACTCTGTGACTTGTCGTTCAATTTCTGCTTTCTGGATGTGGGGGTATCGATAAGGTCGCACACTAATGAGCTGGTGAGGGGAAACCAAAGAAATAGCATGATTATGAACACGTGAAAGAGGAAGACCCGTAGGAGCTTGAAAAATAGTAGAAAAAATGTCCAAAACCTTCTGTAAACCGGTTAAAGAAGTAGAGGACAACCCAGATGTGTTGAGTGAAATCGAGAGAAGGGAAAATCCCGGGAGCGAATGCACCACTGGCATAAACGTCAAACAATTCTGAAGCCAATAAGAGGACGGGTGAACTGACGTTAACCCCTGAAGTTGAACAGGATTCCCCTGATGCATAAAACGCATCCATGCCTTATCCCAATTATGGGTGACCTCCCCCAAAGATCGTAGTCATTCCATTCCCAACACCATGTCTAAATCACCCGTATCAAATACTAACGCATCCACTAGAAAAGAATAAGTACCCAACATAATAGACAAATGAAGACATTTGATTGATGAATACCTTATGGCCGTCACCCAATTGAATTGTGAGACCATCAAATTGAGTTGAAGAAATTCCCAGTGAGGTTGCTAACCGACGAGAAATGAAATTATTGCCCCACTATCCACCAAAACAACTAAGGGAATATTAGAGATAGTACCTACCAACTTCAACGTTTTGCCTCTAGAAGTCGTGGAAGAAGCTCCAAGAAACGCATAACCCCTGACCTGCCACTTCAATTGGAGGTAAATCCGGTGTTGTCGCCTCTTCAAATTGACACAATTCCGCTTCATCAGTCTCGTATTCATCCTCTCCTAACTATAAAACTCGCAGTTTCCCTTCCGGACGCTTGTGTGCCGGACCAAATTGTTGGCCACATCGAAAGCACAAACCCTTCTTACGACGGTCGTCCCATTCGGTACATGTCAGGGAACGGACCCCTTGATCCCGATGTAACACTTGAGAAATCTCCAATGGAGTCGACGCAGATTGACGGGAATTTTGAAAGCGACTAGAATCAAATCGAATAGAAGACCCCTTATCACCGTGTTTAACAATTGGAGGCCCACGAGCATTGGACTGGCCTAATTGAGAAGAACGATCCAAATGAAAACCCTCACCCAGCCCACCCAGATGGTGGTATCGAAAACGGAACTGTGAAACAGTGCCTGATGATGGTCGAAGCATCTCTTCAACGTCTTTTGCCAAATACATTGCATCTAATCGAGATTGAGGTCAGTGGAGACGAACCCATCTCTTGACTTCGTCACGTGAACCTGCAATAATATACCCAAAGCCTGAGATTCTGGCAATTTGGGAACCAACTATAAGAGGTACTTGAAATCGTCAATATAATCGTGAATGGAAGCTGTTTGTTTAATCGTGGCGAATTGTTCAAATGTGTTTTGAATTTCCAGACCACTAAATCTCTGTAACAATTCAAGTTGGAATTGATCCCAAGTAAGAGAATCATGAACCTATTTAACGATGGTGAACCAATGTTGAGCCACTCCCACCATGCTCAACTGTGCCAAACGAATTCGAAGATGAGGAGGAGTACCATTGATATCTAAATACAGAGAAGCCTTCTGGATCCAGCCTTGAGTATCAAAACCATAAAACTCTGGGAGTTTAATTTTCTTCACTGCCCAAGGAAGACTCATCGTAGGAGAAACAGGGGTCTGACCAGAACCAGAGAAAACACCTGAATGAATAGACACCCGCCTTTGGAGACGGAGGTGAAGTGCTAGAGAACTCACCTTGACCACCCATCGGAAATTTACCTTGCTGCTTCATCCAGCCCATCATCATTTGTCAAAACTCGCTGGCCTCGGCACGATCCAGGTCCAACGCAGTGATTGCAGATTTGATGGAAATCAAATCTGCCTGTAACCGCTGAATTTGTTCGTCCTGTTGCTCAAAATGGGCTTGAATTGATCGAGTCTCCATGGTACCGGCAGGATCAAATGGCATGTCGGACCAATGATGGAAAAAGGAAATTTAGCAGTGAATTTAGGGAAGGAGACTGATGGAATTAAAGGTGAAACAGAATTACAGAAAAGATCCAGGGAGAATCCCTCTCTCAATGCATGATGCAAGAGCCAATACAACAAAATAATGCAAAAAATAACAAGATGTCCTATGCACTCCCCTTCCTTCCCTTTTTAAAGATACTATTATCTAACAAACTTTCTAGCCACTTTCCACAATTGCTTTTTTAGCCCTTCTAGAATAAACTTTCCACTCCTTGCTTTATTCCCATTAGACTTAATGATTTCTGGATTCGTATCAGTTGGTTATGGACATGCAAGTTTAAAAGTCTTTGTTTCCTAAAAATGTGAACATCTAATTAATTCTTGGATAGTTGGATCTTAGTTTTTCATAACCAATAGAGAATACAGGTTGCATATAAATGGAAGTGTTATTGTACCTTTGTTTATCCCACTACTTGGGGAGCCTTCTAATATGTGCATGATGATCGGTTACTTCCTCCATCTCAAAGTAAATGTAAACCAATCAAGCCCAATATATCCCATGCGGAATTGGGGTTTGGAGAGGGTAAGATGTACGCAGACATGACATATACCTCAAAGAATAAGGTGGCTGTTTCCGTGTAGACCCTTGGCTTGTGAAAATGGACACAGGTTTAGAGATGTGTATTTTCTACACTTTCTTAATCACTAAATGACAATTTTACACTTAATAATAGAGGGAGTAATGAATTTCTCTATCTCATATTTATGGGTAGAATTGGAAAATAGGGACTTACTTTTAAATGTGGACACTTGTTAGGGGACAGACTAAATAGAAATGTTGACACTTATTTTGGGACGAAGGGAATATTGATTATGAAATTTTGATCATGTCCAAAGGTCACATGTATGGGCACAGTTCTGCTTATGTTTCGAGGGTCAGAAGCTCCTTCAAGATCAAAATCCGGTCGGTCTTCATTGGATCAAGGATGGTGATCAGGTTAGCCTTTCATTCCTCTGGTAATGATATTGGATTATTATTCCAACTTCTGCTTTTCTTTTCCTGGATCATAACATCTGTTGTTTGTTTTTTTGCGTACATACTTACATTTATGCATGCATTTCAGATACTAGGACCTTAACAACTATATAAGAATAGCATCATCATGTTCAAGGGGAAACCAAACAACTATTTTTAAAATCTAATTTGTAAAAGTTAATTTACATAGTATATTTAGACAATGTAACTGCATTTCTTACAAAAATAACTGTATTTATAAAGAAGTATGTCGGTTTGGCCATGTCGACAAGTTGGGATTTCTTAACTAACTGAATGAAGTTTATTATATGCCTGAAATCACAATACCTCTAAAAGAATTGAACAAAATGCTCCTAAAGGATCAAACCTTTTCTTAACTTGCATGCAGCTTCAATTTGTTCGACACACATCCATTTGTTACAATCTTGTAAAGGAAAGACCAGAAAAGCGAGATTATGAGTTGGAAGAGTCCAAGGCGTAAGTTCCCTATGTTTTTTTGCATTACTTTCTTATCAGGCTTCGCTTCATATCAGCAAAACAACTGGTATGCTACTTTCATTTTAAGATCAAGATGTACATTTAACTTTAAGGTTTAAATTTCAACATTGATATTGATCTGTTAGCATCTTTTGTGGGATTTTATACCAAACCAACGAGCCTAATATATCCCACCTTGAGTTGGGATGTGGGAGGGTAAGATGTATATAGACCTGACCTCTCCCTCCTTTGGGCTCGTGAAATCTTTGATGATACTACAAATAAAATAACTTGTGGCGAATTCCACCTCAGGTTTTTTTATGAAATTCCATCTCAGTTTTTGAATTTGGCTATTTTGGTAATTGTTGACTGGACGCACATGTGCTAATAATGTGCCATTGGTAATGGACATCGTAAGCTTTTGAACCGAGCAACCGTGGGTTAAAAAGTCCCTTTCCAGAGCCATCTCAGCAGTGTTGCACACATCTTACGCCATGCATGTCCAATCAGCAAATCTGTTAAAAATTTCATAAAGTTTGACGGCAATCACAACATTGTTGAGGACATATGAATGCACTGATTATGCCATTGAAAACTAATTTGTCAAAACCATAGAATCAAAGAAACCAAAATATATGTTCCCTATTCTGAATTTTGGCAAGTATTTAACCTCAAATTCCAAATGGGGCACCACTTGTTATAAAAGTTAGCAAGTATATGATGCAAATAATTGACAGGTCACCAAGCAAACCAGAAGAATACAAAGACGCGGACGTGCAAGATGAAGAAAATGAAAAGGAGGACATTGCTGTTAACATCACATGTGAATGCAGCTGGGGTCAGCTATTGAGACGGTTGTTCTCATATCGCAGACAAAAAGGTCGTGATTCAAGTTACAAGGAGCTTGGTAGTTCAAAGTCAACCGGTATCTCCACCTGAAATTTGGAAAGGTACGTGAAAGGGTCGATCTTAATTACCAAAAAGGTGACGATGTTATATGCCATTCATTGATTTTATCAGTGTATAATGAGTTTATAAAAATACAACAATCTTGGTTCTTCAGTTACTGATTGAAGCAAGAATATTGGCCAACACTTGATATGTATTTGTGTAATTAACCCTGCAATAGGAGATCAGCAACATGTCTAAAACTCTGCTTGAGTTGGCCATCAGTCATTTGTGATGAAGATGTAGTATGATTTTTTCTATTGGTTGTAAGCTCATCCACAATGGGATGGTTTATAAGCAAAACATAGTGGAGGGTTCTAACAAGTCACCAACATATTTGAGTTCTTGTATAAAAACCCAAGTTCTTACCTCGTTTGTGTAATTTTATAGTTTTTAATTTTATTCTGATTATAAAAAAATTATCAAAGTATATGGGAGCCACAAAGAAGTTGGAGGAGGTTCTTAACATATCGGAGTTAATTTAGGTTTTTGTTTTGCTGATGTGACAGTAACAAGTGAAATTTTGAGGTTTTTCAGAGTCACTCCATTGTGGCTGCCCGACAATGGAAACTTCGTTTTAGACATGTTGCTAACAAGAATTAAATTGTGAGCTAGAGCAGCAAGTGGATGCATCAAGTATGTTGAAATAAAACTGAAAGATTATGTAGAAAGATGAATCTACAGAGTATTATACCATAAAAACACCTGTAATAAAGCACATGCTAATACGAGCCGACAAGAAGAAGCAAGGCTTTAGATTACATGCAAGTGGTTTTATCGCATAGACAAAAGAGATAGATGAGTACTATGTCATCACCACCATTATGAGTAGTAACTTGTAAATGGTGATTTTAATTAAATGTGTGTAGCTTAATTTTTGTGAGAAACAACAATTCGTTGTTGTCTAAAACGTCAATATTATGTACAACATAAAATCACTGGACTCTAGGTTAATCAAATGTATTTAATCATGCAACTCGAGCCACTATTTGATCGGAGATGATCAGCGGATCAAAACGTATAGAAGTTGAAGGTGGATGTTGGTGCAATGTAAAAAACAATCATCGATGAATTAGCGCATGTTTAACTAGCCAAGCTGACAAATGACCTGCATCTTTTTTATCCCTATGGTATTTTTTGGGGAGAATTCATCCTGGAAGTGGGAGAACTGCTGAAACTATGTGAAACCCTGACAATGGTTTATATACAAAGGATCATTATTATTTTTTTGTTAGTTTAGCCAATTTGTCATATATATATAGGGGTCTATTCAAGGGAGAACTGAGTTGTTTGTAGTAACTGTAAGAACCAATATTAACCACAAATCAATAGATAAATTAGGAAATTTATAAATTTGGTAATTTTAAATTAAAATCTTAATGAAGGATATTTTTGGTATTTTAAAACTCTCCTCTCTCCTCTCTTCTCTCTCCGGCCACCGTTCTTCGGCCTCCGGCCACCGTCCTCCGGTGATACCACTATGATACCACTGTGATACCTAAAAATATT